TGATTGATTGATTGATTGATTGATTGATTGATTGATTGATTGAACGTTGTTTGTTGGGTTCTTTTAAAATGTTGAGGGGATACCCGAAAAATTTATTTTAAAATGAACGTCAGACATTAAGACTCCAACACACACAATCACTACCATTGTATCGAAGTTTAAAAAATTTTCAAAATGGTTCAGCCCATTTCTCTAACATTTAAAACGATATTTATCGTTTTGTTATCGCTGACAGTAAACATTTTTGTTTGAATAATTTTTAACAATTTTAAATCTAAATGTGTATATTTCAATTCTTGCATGTCTAAGGTGACATTAGCTTCAACTGAATCAACAAAACGTGTATAAATACGAGGGATTTGCACGCTGTTTCTCAAACAGTTTTCGTTACTAGTAAAGCTACCAGGTATTACTTTCTCAATTAATTTATCAGTTAGCTAGGTCTGCTCTTCAGATTATGATCGGAAGATTTGTTGCAGTGGCGACTGTGGCTCTCGTTCTGTTGGTGGCCACCAGCAGTGGTGAGTGTGTTGGCGTTTGTGGAAATAATCTGCTGTTGATTTTGTTTAAACTGATAGTGATTATGAGTTTTGTTACATTATGTTTCTCATTGTTTTCGAATTGCCTTTTTCATTTATTATTTTACTTATTCTCATTGTTTTCGAATATCTTCATCGAAAGTTTTAAAACCGATAAAAAATTAAAGCTCAGGATAGAGTAGTTTGTCCATCTCTTAACTGTCCAACGGCCTGTCGCTACGGATACGTCCCTGATGACAACGGATGCCGAACGTGCGAGTGCCTGAATGCCTGCGTGGTAATTATTACTTACTTTTGCCTAAGTGCATTTATAATAGGATTGTTTATTGAACATAATTCTAATATTATATACTATATATATATATCGTTAAATTTATATGCCCATTCTGCATTTAGTAGTTTTTTAAAGACAACTTCAACACGACGTAAATTTTTATACTCGTATTTATTTAATGTCATAATTTAATTAATGTTATAAGTGTCAGCTGACAGCGCTGTTTCGGCTTTTAGCCATCGTCGGAGCTGGATTTAATATTTTAAGATGAAATAAAATTAAGATTATTAAAATATTATTAAAGTAAATATTGAAATTATATTGGGTTTTAACAATGGTGTGAAACAATTTAAAAGATTTAAAAAGCATATGAAACGTACCTTTAAAACAAGGTTAAATAAAGGAATAAACGTGAAAACCCTCTATTAACATTTAAATATATTTTTACCCCAGAATTTGAAGTGTGGTGACAATGGAACATGTGCTGGATTCGACAAAAAAAATCTTGATGCTGTGAAATGCTTCCCTCAAGCCAAGTTGTGTAAGTGTTTATTTGTTACGCTGATGTGTCGGTTTTTCAACCCTCAAATTCATCGAGATTTTTTCCCACCGAACAAACATAATAACGGTTTTACAACTCGTTCGTCCTTACCGTAACATTAACATTATTATCTTCACTGAATTTATTTCCACAAATATTTTGCCCTTGTATTTTCTTCTAGAATTTGTAAACTATTAAAGAGGAAAAACAGAAAATATATACAAATAAATCCATTAGTTATGTTTTGAGTTTTCAACGTTAAAACTTGCCATCAAACTTTTTTTATCCAATTGTTATATGAAGTTATCGAATGACACAGGTTGTCCTTGTGATAGGATCTATTGGCCTTATAATTATGTGAATTACGCCAATTGTTGCCCTCTTGGCTGTAAAGCAACGTCATGTCCGATGGGAATGATCTGCTGTCCCAATAAGTTTGGGTGCTTAAAGTGTGTTTGGCCAGATATATGCATTATTTGATTCAAGGGTGAACATCACTGACACCACAAACTCTGCATTTAATTCATATTACCTGCTTTGTTTGATTAATAATATTGTTTCTACATTGTTAAGCTTATTCTAACTAATATATGATCGAGATATTTTATTCCGATTATTATTTTAAATTCTGTGTTTAATAAAATTTACCCTTGGCATATTCAACATTGTTTGGTTTCATTAAAATTCAAAATTCAAAAAAAAATCCAACAACGTTTGTGTTAAAAAGTCAACGTATAAAAATTTGCAAACTTGTATAGAAAAAGTCGTTTTAAAATGAATAATTTAAAAAAGCGATCGAGCCAAGGAAACCCGTTAATGAGTATTAATGTGAGACCGGTTGACCTAAGTTTGATTAAATGTTTTCGCAATTATTTCTCCTAGATTCAGTATGGGGTAAATTACGAGGAGAGCCGCCATATAAAGGTTAAGAAAAGGTTAAAGGTCAATTACACTCTTCCAAAGTTCAGAGGATCCAACGAAGCGCACAAACATCGTAAATGAATGCATTCTAAACAACGCATCACACACGAAGCATGTGATAGGCAGGGATCTTTTTGTCATATTCAAACCCGGTTACTGCGAAACAGAACCAGGCGACCTTAACCATTAGACCATCACGCCACCCCATAAACTCTCTCAGGTTGTCAACAATTCTTCAGCTTGTTTGCCAACCTCAACTTTCTCCGACCTCCCATATGATGGGATCTACCCACCTAGCTTTAACATTCCATCATTATAGTTGATCAATAAATTCGATAGCATTATTCCATTCCTCTATTCTCAAACAGCAGTCAAAACAACTTATGAGACAAGTAAATAAAGTTCGAAACATTTCTAAAAATGTAAAAAGAACATTTTTTTGTTACCTTGTCATTTTCTTCTTCTAGACATTTCTTAAAAGTATGTAGCAAGATAAGTGAATAAATAATTTATATATGTATTATATATATGTGTGTGTGTGTGTGTGTTTGTTTGTATGCTTGTGTGTGTGTTTGTTTGTGTTCGTTTGTATGTTTGTGTGTGTGCGTGTGTGTTTGATGTTTGTGTGCGTGTATGAATGTTCATTTCATTATGATGATGACTAACACAAACAAAGATCATAGAGGTTTAGACAATCCTCTGACTCCATTCAGCCAATATTTTTTCGATGGGATACTTACTTATGCATGTGTGTATGAGGAGAATGATGAAACGTTCGTATGCATGTATGTGATAGTGACTAAGAGGATTGACTATTTACGACATGAAAAATTTTCCAATCTACAGTTTGTTGCCATCTATTTCTAAAAATATAGCTATTTTATTTGCTTAATTTAAAAAAATTTGTCAAGTTTTACCATTTAAATTTAGCTCGAATTTTTTTTAATAAATAAAAAATTAATCGACAAATTGTTCTGCTGAAAAATCAATCTATCAATTGATAAACCAACTGGTGAACTAACCAACTGATGAACTAACCAACTGATGAACTAACCAACTGATGAACCAACTGATGAACCAACTGGCGACCAACCAACCATTTCAGAATTTATTTCGTAATCTATCAAGCATCCATCTAATCAAAATGACAATGGCTTGATTGATTGAATTAGTTGATTAATTAAAACATTGATTGATTGATCGGTTGATGATTGGTTGGTTGGTTGATTGATTGAATGTTATTTGTTTGGTACTTTTAAAACTGTCTGGGAATTGGCCCTAAACACTCCCGTTTGAAATAAACGTCAGACCGTTGAACTCGAACATTCCCTCTACAATTACTACCATTGTATCAAAATTTAAAAAGATTTTTAAATATTTCAGCCCATTGTTATTAAAATTCATCAAGACATTTATTATTTTGTTGTTGCTGACAGTAGACAAATTTTCTGCGCATAATTTTCAACAATTTTAAATCTAAATGCGTATATTTCGATTCTTGTATATCTAAGGGTGACAAGCTTCAACTGAATCAACAAAACGTGTATAAATACGAGGGATTTGCACGCTGTTTCTCAAACAGTTTTCGTTACTAGTAAAGCCACCAGGTATTTCTTTCTCAATTAATTTATCAGTTAGCTAGACCTGCTCTTGAGATTATGATCGGAAGATTTGTTGCAGTGGTGGCTGTGACTCTCGTTCTGTTGGTGGCCATCAGCAGTGGTGAGTGATCCGTTGTTGATTTTGATGATGTTGGTGATCAAGATGCAAATATATTTGGGTTCCTCTATATTACGTGTTTAGGTTCATTTAAATTTCAAAACCACAAAAATGTATTCCCATTAAACAGTGGTAAGCCAAACAGCCTCTCCCTGCCCAGAGGTTCAATGTGAGGTGAATTGCACCAATGGATACGTTCTCGATGCGAACGGATGCGAAACTTGCCAGTGTTTGGACTCATGCGCAGTGATTATCATTCATTTTGCATCTAACAATAAGATTGTTTATTGAGCATCCTTCTAATATTATTTAGTGGATTCTAATGTTTGTGTTCAAAATTAATAGTTTTATATATATATATCAAAATTTATATATAGACATAATAACGATTTCAACCCTCATTAACTTTAGTAAACATTAACATCTTTCCTTGCTCCAGAAAACTGCGTGTGGACGTACAGATGCATGTGCTGCGTCTGCTCTGGCCAAACCCGCCGTTCAATGCTGGCCCCTGCCCAGACTATGTAAGTACTTGAACCGCGGTGTTTCAAACGTTTATGGATTAAAAATCTGAAAAATAATCGCACTTTGTTAATATTGGATCACGTTTCAAATTTCTAATTTAGCTCCATAAAAATTCAAAAAGTATATTTAAAATAAATTTAATGATTATAGTAAGAGACCATTGAATATTTATTCTCACTTTAACTACAAATAAATTTGGCACAAAACTAATACGTACGCTACTCAGGTTGTCCACCGATAAGAACCCCAATTTGGGGTTACTGGAGTTATTGGGGCTATTGGCGTTACCCTCTGGACCACTGCAGGAACTGTTTTCCTGGTTGCCTGGCGAGAGGCTGCCCGAGGGGACAGATCTGTTGCAGAGACTGGCTCGGATGTCCCGTGTGCGTTTGGCCTGTGCCCTGCTGGTTTAGGCTTGATTTAAAAAAGCCACTGTTGTGAGCATTCAAACAGGAATGTGTAATCCTAAATGCCTGCAAATGTTTAGAACAATTTAACTTTAAATTTAAACTTTCTTTTGCGTATTTTTATTAATATCATTAACACCATGAGCAGTGCATTTCATCCATATTACTTGCTTTGTTTGATTTGTCATATTGTTTTTAATTTTTCAATCTTATTCTCACTAATATATGATAAAGACACTATATTTTGGCTATTTTTCTAAATTCGATGTTTAATAAAATTTACACTTGGCATATTCGACATTTGTTCAGTTTCATTCCAATTCAAAATTCTAAAAAAAATTCTCAACAACGACCTTGTTACAAAGTGAACGTATCAAAATTTACAAACTTGCGTTTTAAAATTTGAAACATAAAAATGGGTGTTTGTAAAAAACATGCAATCAGATTCTTTTGTTAATCTGAACAAAAACCAAGAAACCACTCTTTACTTGCTTGTTCGTTAATCAATTCAAAATATTTTCCATGCCGAGTATATTTCACAAAATCAAATTCTGTTTGATGATATATAAAGTTTATATACCATTAACACATTATTATTAACACATTACTGCATCATTATACATTACACATTACAACATCATTACAACATTACACATTATACATTACAACATTATAAGCATACATAAAGCCAACCATTCTAATAATTTTTTAATTAATAATTTTAACTCTCGTAAACAAAGTAATTTACCTCACTGGTCATTTTCTGGTTAGAGAAATCTTTTTAAAAGCCCAATTCAAAACTTGGCAAAAGTCATAATTTACTATGTCATGTCATTTCAATATCTTTCAGCTGGCTCTAGCTATAGAATCCTAAATGACATCCTTTCATTTACTTTATAATCCATATTGACATATCAAATAAAATTAATACATTACTTACAAATAAGATCCTATACTTCATACTTCTTAGTAATATTTGCGAATTTAAGGGCTAGTTTCAAAAAAATGTAAATTTTATATGAGGCATTTAACTTTTTCATATCATTTTTAAAAACAATAATATCGCCCAGAATTATTTTTTCTATGCTCATGACGTAAGAAAAAAACAGGTGAATAGGAATATTTTTTCCCCAGGTTAGATTTTAAGAAGTTTTATCATTATATTATAATTTGTTTATTTAATAATAATTTTTAGTTATTAATTTGTTCATTTATTTACATTTACAAATACTTGTAGCTTGTTGTTAGAAGTAAATAATAGTAAATAATACTCTATTCATAATTATTCTCGATAAGAGCGCGCGCTGCTATAGAATAAAAATTTTCTAACATTTCCAAGGTCTAACATCGAGATTGTTTTATTATAAATTTTGGACTTTGGATAAAGATTTACTGAATTCAATTAAAAATTAATTTAAATTAATTTTAAATTAATTGGTAATTTTTTAATATTTGAACTATGTAAAAAAAACTTTTAGAAATATTATCGTGTTATTTAAAAAAATAAGTACGTAAAAACATAAAAACACTTCAACACTAGTTTAAGTTTTTATTTATTTGTAAAAGTTGAAAAAATAACTTTAAATTTAAAAAATTTTTCTAAAAAATATTTTAAAGTAGAAGTCGGTAACGTACACACGACAAATATTCACTATACAGTATTTACACATATAACATTTGCTTGAACTTACGTACGTTCATTTTGAAAGAACAAAAAAAAAGATAAAATTTACAAACTGGCAAGGGTTTTTAATACAGTTTTAAATGCAATAAAGTTCACCGAGAATCGAAGTATCAATCAATAAAACATATGCCCAGTGGAAAGATATATGTGGAGATCGTTAAGTTTGAGATCCAGTATCCTGGTCGTCGTCACATAGTTTATGATGGTTTTCCATTTGAATTTAATTTCTCGACGGCAGTACGGGCAGTGAGATTTTTGATGAAGCCACAAACGTAGACACTCGAGATGAAATGAGTGGTTGCAGGCAAGTTTGTGTACTAGCGTACTCTCCACAAACTCTTCATAGCAGATCACGCATTCGTTGTGAAGAAATTTTTCGGCAAAATATGGAAGCACGAAGCGTACGTTGTTGGCCAAGGTTCGGTGGAATACATCCAAATAATGTATTATTCCCAAATTTATATTTTTTCCATGTATATTTGTGTAAACCAATTTCTCCGGCAAGACTTTTTCTTTGAGATTTTTCTCGTAATCAAAAGTTTGCATATCGTGGAGCAAGTCGTATTGTACATCGATAGGAAGGGAACGAATTCGTCGAAGATGAGCGCTCTTTGCATCGTCAATTCCATTTTTTAAAGGTTTTCGCAAGCGTTGCAGGATGTTTGGCACGTGCAAAATTTCTTCAGTCGTTAGCTGGTATCTCTCTTTATTGCTCTCCATGTACCTTCCGTACCTCGAGATCTGACTACTCGCTTCCAGCCTTTTATTTTCCGACGTGAATTCCTCCACAACTTCTCTCACCACCGGGTCATTTCTTGAGTAACGGTAACGCATCCTGCCAAAGTTTAGGGTTCGGTGCTGTTATCTTTTATCTTACTTCATAAATTACAAATTTTTGGCTGTAAAAATTTATAAATTATTTATTTTAATTATTAAAAATTATATCATACTTAGTTTATCGAAAAGCCATTTACAAGCAAATAAATTCATATTTATCGACGAAACACATTGTGTTAGGAACTCATGTGAATATAACGAAGCACGTGTGCGTCCAATGAATTCAATAGTCGCTGGCTAGCATAGACCGATCACATGTACTGGATATATTTCTCCGTAATCTATGTTATATGATAGTTAGCTGATACTCCTTTTTATTTTCAACCGAGTACTCTACAAACATTCTCCGGCGAAATCCACCATATGCATTCCAATAGTGATGATTTAGCTATTTAACTATGGTTTAATTTAACATAAACCATCTTTCTCTATTTTCACTCTAAACGGTAGATGCATTTTTATCAATTAAAGTTAGTTGAAAGTTGTTGAACGAAAAAATATTTTAAATACTGAAATAACTGTATACCTTTTTTTTACATGGGAATCATTTACGACTCTAACAAAATAATCATTTACAACTATCGTTCGATAGACGTGTAAACATTAAAATGTATATTTTCGTTTTTAAATTTTCATACATTCGTCGAAGTAACTCTTAAGTTTTAATTTTTCGTCTCGAAATAGCAAGCGTATCGATCATGATTAAAGTTTTTCAATACTTGAGTTTTTCAATATTTTATCTATTACTTACCAAAGGCAGACTTATAAAATGAAGATGTTGATCGTAACAACGAAGAAAATTCATATTATTTTTATCTGGAACAAATTTCACTAACTTGTTTGAAAAGTTTTTTGCATAATCAATCAATCAATCAGTCAGTCAGTTAATCCAATCAATCAATTAAATTTATATAGTCCAATTTCTAAAAATTCAATCTACAAATCGCAAACAAAAATAATTAAAATAAAAAAAAAAGAAAATAACGGGAAATATTCAACGAAAAAACTATTGAAAACATTTAAATGGCAAAAGCTCGTTTTTACGTTACGATGTGAAATTCGTCGAAAACGAAAGGTTTTTTTTTAATTTTGAGGATAATTTTTAAATTTGTGAAATGAGTATAAGTGGAGAGAAGAAAAAGATTGCCGACTCTATTGACGTGTTTACTTTAGTGCGAGTTAACTGAAAGATGCTTGACAAAGGAATTACTTGACAACATTCTTAGAGTTTATATAAATTATTGATTTATATTATTAATGATTTATTTGGTATTACGGATGGCGTTTATGATGGTAGGCTTTATATGTATGCTGATGATGCTAAATTTTGTTAGTTATGAAAGTAGTAGTTTTAGTAAAGTTATGAAGTTGGGGGAATGACAATGCTAACTTGCAGAACTGTTTGAATGCAGTATCAGGTATGGTCTGAGTCATTCAGTATTACGTTAAGTTGTGAGACATGTTTCGTTGTGAGATGTGGTTCAAGTTATAGAGTGTACGTATGCTATTAACAAGTATCTTTTAAGGGATTGTAGTAAGATTGATGATTTAAGAATTTTGTTTGATTGCTCAATAAAATTTTATGAAAATATATATCAGAAAATCGATTAAACTTCATCAATCTTAGGTTTAATAATTTCCAGACACTTCAGAAATCTTACGCAGGACCCTTCCTAATGTTATACACATCTTTTGTTCGATCTCAGCTGGAGTACGCTGCATCTGTCAGGTCGCCATGGACAAATGAGGGAAGTTCTAACAAATTAACGGGTCCTGAAAAGGGCTACAAAAATGATCAATGCAATCAAACATATAAAATATGAAGATCGTCTGAAACATTTGAACCTACATACGCTGAAGTTCAAAGAGATAAGAGGTGACTTCATAGTCTTGTACAAAATGAGGAAAAGTGATGACGGGAGCAGTTTTCCGAAATTAAAGCTACATGGTGATGACAGAACGCGTGGGCATAACTTGAAGCTGAATGAGGAACTAACTGTTCAAATCCATTCAAATCAAATCTGAGAAAGTATTATTTCACAAACAGAAGTAGAATTGTGAAAATTTGGAATAGTTTGAATGAGGACATTGTGAATGCTTATAGTGTGAACGAATTTAAAATGAAAAATTATGTCTTTTTTGAACAATAGACTTTTAAGTATGAATGGAAATCGGATTTTGGTTGGTTGGTAGTCTAGATGTTTAGTCGTTTCAGTTATTTCCTGAATTTAGGACCATTAAAGTTAACTTGCATTTGATTAAGAGTTGAGTTCCCCAGATTATATTTTCGCAACTTAAACATTAGAATAATCACTAATCATTACTATTTTTTATTATGTATGGCTGTTGAATCACAAAATATTACATTAAGTAATTGTCAGAAAGTTTTTTTTATAAAACATTTTTGAACGTTTGTTCTTTTTTTTAATGCAAAGAGAATCTAAAGCTGCAAATCGTAGAGTCGAAGTGTATGCATTATTCTAGTTATCGCCATCTGAACAATAGATAAAGTAGCAAATATTGAAATTTTTCCGAATCATTTGTTTATGCTTATTTCACGTAGTTTGCTTTTAAGTTTCTCATTATCGTACCATTTGAAGTGAAAAAGTATTAAAATTTGTATAATTCGGGATAAATCTTAATCAAAGATGGTGATTAAACTGTTTTTTTGATTTATTGAGAAATTTGTTTTTATAAATTAATTTTAAATTTTAAGCCAAGAGGAAAGAAAAAGTTTATTGACAAGAAACATGCCATAACTTTCAGTTTAGTGAACAGGAGTCAGAGGGACCCAGAAGCGGCCAATGATGAAGCCCCTCAAAGAGTTCTTGTGGCAAGTTTATCGACATTCTATTTATTTCAATTTTTTGTTTAATTTTCTGCATGTAACATGTAAAAATATGTCTGATCAAAAGTTTTATTTTATATTATATTTATTTAATTGTATTATTAATTATTGATATTAATTAAAAAACATGAAAAATCTAATTATTTATATTCAGATTAAACTTGTTTCAAGCTTAGATAACATCTTTGAAAGTGATTACATGATGGAAATGATTTAAAATAGTGGAGAATAAAACTAAAAAATTTATTTAATTAATAAATTCTATCTACCTACACTACAGAATTCTCAAAAAGAGGAACAACTAAAATATGGGATATACTTCGATGATGATTACAACTATCTGAAGCATTTAAAGGATGTCGACGAGTTTTACCAGGTCCAACCTGACTCATTCAGGGTTGGCAAGAGATCCAGTGATATGCTTAAGGAGGTTCCAATTGAGGAAAAGGTCTGAAGGTTTTAATTGTTTTTTCAAAAACATTTTGCAACACAAATGAAATATTAAAATTTTATTTTTAATCAACAGATTTCATTATTTATTCTATTTAATCAGTTTATTTTTTGAGATTTAATTATTATTTAAACTTTTCCTAGCCAAGACTGCTCCTCCCATCGTCTGTGTTTGCGTCGAATGGTGAAACAGTTGTTGGTCTTTTGAACATGGCCGCTCCAGTATCTGGTTAGTTTCTGTTAAATTGCATTGATTCATTTACTTTAATCAACTTTCAATTTATTAAGTAGACTCTTCTGAAATGTTTTTAATTTTTGTTAGAAAAAGAACTAAATTATTATCTTATAGTTTACAGTTTTTCATTTCAATTTGCCTTTTTCACTTATTGCAGTTGTGCTACTTAGAAAAAATTTACACCAACACATTTACACAGATACGCACTTATGAAACCCACACTAACACATTTTCACACACACACACACTAACACACAGGACCACATCCCGACCTCGACCCCGACATATTGGCAGCTTTGGATGGGGAGGTCGATCCACATGATGAAATGGATGATGATTTTATCGTCAAAGCTAATGATGGGTTAGTTTTTTGTTTTTTTTTTGTTTTTTGAATTTAATTTATAATCTATATTTGTCCATAATATATTTTATAAAAATATTTTATTTTCAGAGAAAAAATGGACGAGGGAGAATTTGATGATGACGAAGATGATGATGACGAAGATGATGATGATGACACTTTAAAATCAGAAAATAATAATGACGAAGATGATGACGAGACGCAACGTAAAGAAACCAAAGATCATAAAATTAGCAAACAAATGGTTGACAACCTAAGTCGTTACTTTAAAACTCTGCCCGACTACGATAAAAACGTTTATGAAGGCAGTGATGATGGTGACTATTTTGATGGTGGTGGAGGGGATGCTTTTGATGTAGACATCAAACAGAGAACAGGAAGGAAGAAATGTAGTAATAATAAAGATGATGACAGTGATGAGGTAGTCTCTCGAGTGACCGGATCCTCTATGACGTCATCTGTTATTAGGAGGAACGAAAACTTACGATTTATTGACGCAAAGTTTGAAAAAGTGAGTGAGTAAGGGAATGAATGAGTGAACTAATAATGAACGAACAAGTGAATGAGTGAGTGACAGGTGTGAAAAAATTGTGAAGTGGTTAGTTAATGAGTGAGTGAATGATTGAGTGACAAAGAATGAGGAGTGGGTGGATGACAGAAGTTGAAAAATTGCATAATGTGCGTTCATAAAATATTTATTACTCCACACTTTTTCAGTTCTACAAAGATTTTAAAAATGACGACGACGACGACGATGATGTTGAGTTAGTTGAGGCTCACAACAACCAGCTAAAATCAGACGTCTTCCAACAGCTCAGTAACCAATTTCAAGATATGTCCAGATACAAAGAAATGTTAGTTATTTGGTTGTTGGGGTTTCTGTTATAGCTAATTTGACATTAATGTAATATATAAAATTGTATTAAAATATCTTAATAAACAAAAAATTTTTTTTTTCAAATTCTTTTTTGCAAAGAAAAATGAAAGACTTCGAGCCCAGCCACGACAAATCTCACATACTTCCTTACCTAAGCACGAAATCACCACACAAAACTGATATGGAAGTTCCTAGTAAAGTTGATGATGACGAAGATAATGATGATGATGAAAATGAAGATGATGATAAGAATGATGTCGAAGATGATGATGAGGAAGATGAGGATGATGATTTAGAAGAAAGAACCATAGTATCCAACCGTTATAGTAGTATTGCAGGTCTGCTCAAGTTTTTGTTGGAAATTTATTCTTTCAATATGAGCAGTAATGTTAATTTATGTTAACGAATCGTAGTCGATTTGAAATATGTTAATGAATTGTATTTTCTTAAATGTTTATTAATGTTTCATTAGACTACTACATTGTTACATCATTACAAACAGGTTCTTCATGTTCATCTTACAGAAACCAACCAAAAACCATCACACTTCAGATGGTGGTAAGTTATTTTTTATTATAATTAAAATCAATTAATAAGAAAATGAAAAAAGAATATATAAAGTACATTAATTTTTCAATTTCAATATCGATTTTTGTGCTATGTTCCATTTTTGCAAGTCTGTTCATTGCAGTTCTTACGATAAATTTTAATACTTCAGATATATTAATGTGTTCATTATTTGTTCATTTATATTATATTATGTTATGTTATATTATATTATTTAATTGCATTTTGTTGTAGGCTTGTATAATAGATAAGTTAAAAAATTTTATGAAAAATGTTAATTATATGTTAATGAATCGTAGTCGAATTGAAATATGTAATGAATGGTATTAAACAAATTAAATCTCATATATTTTTTAGCAAGCTACACGCTTCAAAACCAACATCTAAAAAATCCATCTCAGCGGATTCGTAGAGTTATTTTTCAACTACTTTACTTCCCACCCCACAGTCTGATATGATTAGAAAAAAACGAGATAAAAGACCGACGCGGATAGCGACTGCTACTAACACGTCATCATCAACGTCATCATCATCAGTGAACAAAAAAGATACTGGAGACGATGACGATGAGATGCCACTTGATCCAGATAGAAATAAACTTCTTGTGTTGGAAAGGTCCAAAGATGAGACCACTAGGGAAAGGAAAGCTAGGAAGCAGGCTATTAAGGACAACAGAAGGGTCTGTGTGTTTTCATCACGTACATTTTTATTGTTATTATTATTATTTTTATTAATAATATTTTTTAAGTCGATCTGGCTTCATTAAGAATCCCGTGGTTCAATTATTAAGTAGTCTAATTGTTTTTTTATATTTTATTTGACTTTATTAGGCAATTTTGTTTATTTTTGAAAAATGATTTTATAATTTATAATAATTTTTTTTCAGATAAGAAGAGCGGCAAAACGGGCCGCTAAGAAATCTGGAAAATGAGCTAAAGTCTTTTAAATTAAAATAAAATGATTTTCAAGATTCTAAAGTCCCATCATGATTCATCTTTCAATTGCTTAACGTTATTGATCTAACTAACTGAATATAATTCTCTAAAAAAATTTAACAAATTGGATTGGTTTCCCTGTTATGAAAATGTTTTTTTTGCGTTCTTATTATAACAAATCGTACGATTATTAATTTAATGGAAAAGTTATTGTGGCTATGTTTATAGCTGAAATATGTAAAACGGTAGCCCCCCCTCCCGGTTGTTGGGTTTGCAGTGGTTTTTTAAAACAAACTTTACCATATATTTAAAATACTATTCTCAGTACATAAATAGATAAAAATCGGTCAAGTTAAATGCTTTTAAAACTCAGAACGAATTTCCAGTTTTGCCGTTTGAAATAAGTAGAATTCGTTACTTTACACAATTTTTTACTTAAAATTTACTTTTCAACATCGGTATTTTATTTTAAAAGGAACAAACCTTTATTAACTTTACCACGCAAAAGAAGAAATAGAAATTAATTTCTTGTACAAAAATTTAATAAATTTAGACTTTGATAGCAAATTAATCAATTAAACTTCAATTTACTTGCAAAGAGTTCTTATTTTTTTAGTAACTTTTAGAGTACTAGTACTCTACTTATAAATGGTATAAAATAAAAAACCACCAATTACTATTTTTTATTTAAATTAAAATTAAAAAATGTCGAGGTCGACTGTACTAGCAATTTTCTTTGTTATTGGAATGGTTTTGTTGACTGTTGGGGTGTCCTTCAATTATTTCTTTGACTGTTTTGTGGAAAAGAAACTGCAGAAGGTTGGTCCTGTTCAAATTCCAATATTCCAATTATCAGAATAACCTAATTTTTCTAATTTTTAATTAAATACTATTGCCCTCTAACTAATTTAGTGAGCATAGGTAGTGGTGTAATGTACAGTAGAAGTGGAGTAGAAGTAGTTCATTGAAAAATATCTTAACTAAACTAAAAGCATTTCTATTATTTCACTACAGAACCTCAACTTGTTAAATGGAACAGAGGCATATGCCAACTGGCTACAGCCACCTGTTCCTGTCTACATGAGCTTCTACTTTTTCAATGTCACAAATTACGAAGAATTCTCCAGAGGAGCTAAACCAGTTGTCCAGCAAGTTGGCCCTTACGCCTACAGGTTTGATATTTATTTTTTCTTTACAATTTTTTTTAATATTTTTTTAAGAGATATCAATAACAAACCGACCAAATATGTATGTATGTTTCATATAAATAATAGCAATAGCATTGCCAGGCATCCAACATGTATCTAATAAATTTAAAAATTTCATCATTTTTAAATATTTCTAATTTAAATGAAAGTTAAATTTATAATATTTAAAAAGATGTGTTATTTAAATTTATGTATTTAAGTATGAATAAATTTATAAAATGTTCATTAATTTTTTGTCTTATATATCGCCACACTAGGGAAATAAGAAATAAAGTGAACATAGTGTACAGCTCAAACAATGAGAGTTTATCATACAAGGAGCAGAAGTTCTACACATTCCTCCCAACCAACATATTGAATGAAAGTGATGTCATCTATACATTGAATATTCCTGTACTGGTAAGACATGCCTGCTTGCTTCACTTTTTAATAATTTGTTATCTCTAATTTCCTTTTTCAACAACATAATTTCAATCTCTCGTCAGTTACTGTTTACCAGTTTTACTATTTTTTTATTGAATTTCATAGAAATCACTTATGCCTGATTTTTGGACTTGATTGACTCACTAAATTATGATTATTATTATTAAGGCATGGTTGCATGTATTAATTATTTATTTATTTATTTATCAATTATTTATTTTATTTTATTTATTTTTATAATTAATGAAGATTATATGTAGAATAAAATATTTCAATATTTTAACAATAAAAAATTGTATACCAAAAACAAAACGATTGAAAAATATCTCTTAGGTTATATCTAAACTGTTGGAGAAAATGTTCCCAGAAATCATATTGAAATTGATTGGCTTCATACTAAATGGTGAAAAACTGATAGAGAAGAGGACAGTTTTTGAGTTGTTGTGGGGCTTCAACATGTCCCTGGCAGACGACATCAACAGAAAACTGGCAGAACTCCATTTGCCTCCCATTCGATTTCCTACTTTTGGCATATATGTCAATGTTAGTAGCTAGCACTTGCCGACATTTTTTCCTTTCAGGGATGCTTTGGCATTCGAATCCAGTCACTGCAACTCAAGTGCCAGACATCTTAACCACTGCACTATCCTGAAGCCAATAAAAATTATAAAGATTTACTTTTTTCTTATTGCATGTGAGCAGAACAATAGTAATGGTTCCATGCACAACGAGTACAATATATCTACTGGCGCCTATGACATTAGCCAAGTTGGTAGGATTAATTCCTGGAGAGGAAACAGGTTTTCGTGCTCATTCTGTTAATTAATTAATTATAATTATAGCTCATTTATTTGTTCATTTGTTCATTCGTTCATTCATTTGTTCATTTATTCATTCGACTGCATTCTTTTCAGCCATCTATCATCTTGGTCTGGAGATGCATGCAACATGATTAACGGAACGGGTGAACTAATTCATTAATTTATTATCCATTCTTTCATTCATTTATTTATAAATTCATTTATTCATTCATTTATACATTCATTCATTCATTCATTCATTTATTTGTATTTTTTAAGTTTCGTTAATGTGCGTTGATTGATTACACGCACACACACGTACGCGTGCACGCACACACACACGCACACAAACAAACACACAATCACAGATGGTTCCTTCTGGCACCCGTTAATAAGCGAATCTGATACACTATACCTATTCAGTCCTGATCTATGTAGATCAATGTACATGCTGTACAACTCAACTACTACAATATACCAACTGAACTCCATGAAGTACACGGTTCCTGAGACCGTTTTGAGGGATCCTAGGTATGAAGAGGCCAATAGGTGTTTTTGCCTCCCCGAGTATCCACACTGTCTGAAAGCCGGTGTGCTTGACGTCAGTCTGTGCAATGGTTGGTTGGTTGGATGGTTGGTCGGTTGGATGGTTGGTTGGTTGGTTGGCTGGCTGGTTGGATGGTTGGTTGGTTGGTTGGTTGGTTGGTTGGTTGGTTGGTTGGTTGGTTGGTAGTTTGGTAGGTAGTTGCAAAGTGTGATGTTGTTTGGGTACAAGTTGTTTGATGTCACCGTGTTTTGAGGTGGTTTAGTGACGATTTAATGATATTTCTTGCTGTCATGATGTCTTGTGATTCAACGTGATGTGATTTAGGTGGTTATTTGATGTTTATGACGTCATGTGGTCTGTGATTTAATTTCTTCTGACGTGGTTCGTAATGATGTCATATATATATTATATTTATTTTTTGAACTCTAGATGGCGCTCCGGTTATTGTCTCACTGCCCCACTTTTTGTACGGTGACGCCGAATACACGGACGCTGTCGTTGGTATGAAGCCTAACTTGGCCCTACATCAATCCTACGTTCACGTCGAGCCTGTGAGTTCTCCAATGATGAGGATGATGATGATGATGATGAGGATGATGGCAATGGTGGCGGTGATGATGATGATAATGAGGGTGATGGAGCTGGCAACTCCAAGCAGTGTGATACTTCAAAGAGCAACTATGTTCTGTTGGCCGATAATGATGACGATGGTGATGATAATGATGATGATGGTGGTGATGGTGTTTTTGATAATGATGATGATGGTGGTGATGACGGTGGTGATGATTATGCATAAAATTACACCTAACATTCTTTGATGTTAAGTCCTATTGAGTTTTTTGTTGATCACGATGAGGACTGTGGTGCCGATAGCGATACTGATGATAATGACGACGATGATGATGATGGTGATAATGATGAATATGACGATGATGATGATGATTATTATAATTATGACGATGATGATGATGATGTACGATACACAATCCTTAAGATGTCGGGTTTCGTTCTAGAGGCTCATAAAAGACTTCAAATCAATTTCATGCTGCAGAAGTATACAACATTCAAGTTTGTGATGTGATGACGATAAAGATAACGACGATGATGATGATGATGATTATATTTTATTATTATTATAAAAATCTCGATGATTATAATGTATTAATGTATAAACGTATATGCTTGCTTATGTGTTCTTAAATTTATTTACCGTAATTTATTTACTCTACTTTTCTATTATTATATTATAGTTGTATATATATTTTATTATATTACAGTTATGTTTATATTATTATATTATAATTATATTATTATAATTCGATATAATATGATATAATTATAATATTGTTGTTGTCAAGGTCATCATGGGTCATCAAAGAGCCGATCATATTTCCCCTCATGTGGGCGGAAGAGGTGGAGCCTAGAAAAAATTATTTGTTTTTATTATTTATTCATTTCACTTTATTATTATTATTATTATTATTATTATTATTATTATTATTATTATTATTATTATTATAGCTATTGTTTTTACGATCATTGTCAAGTATGTTGTCTAGGAGGTATCAGCAAACGAGAAAAGCACGTTGCATGTGAGAGTCGGGGATTACTCTGCATTCGAACTCGGCCACTGCGACAGTACCGCCAGGCACTTTAACCATTATACCATCGAGTAGTGGTGGTATTCACAATGGTCATTGTACCATCAAGTCAAAGTTATCTTACTTTCAAATAAGGGATTCATAGATCGTTTCGAAATTCTCTCATCCAGAGCGCTTCCATAAATGAGCGTTCGGCCCTGAGATTGTATAGTCTACTGAACGGGCCGAGGTTGATAGGGCGAGGCCTGATATTCATGTGCATCGTTGTTGGGGGTCTCTTTGTCTTAGTGACTATCGTCGTTGCTGCTGTCATCATGTCTAGGAAGTTCTACAAGGTGTGTTGGATGGTGGATGGTTGTCGGGTATTTTGGATAGGAAATGTCTCTTCATGCTCTGTTCATTCTGTCATCGTTTTAAATTATGAATTTGCTTGTTGATTGACTGATTGATTGGTTGACTGACCGACCGGCCGACCAACTGGCTCATTTGATTGATCAATTAATTAATTAATTAATTAATTGTTCAATCAATCAATTAATACATTAACAGTGGGGCCGTGATGGTGAGAGATCAGGCCCAACCGAAGTCTCACACCTCCTGAATAGTAGTTTCGATGGTTAATGCCGCATGCGTTATGATTAAGATTATTATCGTCACTATTGTTTTGTTATTATTATTAATTATTATTCTTATTATTGTTGTTATTGTTGTTGTTTTCATTGTTATAATTAATAATTAACTTGTCATTTTAATGTTCATATTTTTTCCCCATTGTTATTTTCTGTCCCCTTATAATATGCAATATACTGCCTGTAATAATAACGTGAAATTTCATACACAATACAAGAGTACAACTATATACACGCCTCTCTATTAGAGGTGCACCGACAGCGATTTTGTCGAATAGTCAAGTGGCCAAACCGATAATCTACTTAACTATTCGACCGAAGCCAAAGGCCTTTCAAATAGCCGATGCCGAATTTTCGCCGATAATTCGGTGCATCTCTACTAATACGCTTACAAAAGTATATATACACGAATATTTATTTGTATAAATTAATGCGTTTACAAATGTACGTAATCCTTGTATTTTTAGTTGAAAATTGCTAATTTCAGTATTCATGTTTTTATGCATTTTTCAAGTGTTTTTTTCATTTGTTGTTGTCAGTAAAGCATTTATTCAAGACTTGAGATTTTCAATTGTCATGTTAATTGTTTGTGTTTGTTCGTTTCTATGCACGCCTATGTATCTGTGTACGTGTGTGTATGCGCTTATGTTTGTATTTATGTGTCTGTATCTGCCATGAATATATATCCATGGTATCTGCATGTAATTTATAAGACATTGTTTGATTATCTGATATTGTTGCAATAATTATATTGTTGTATCCGCAAATTATATTCATGTTACCTTAACAAATATTTTTTGAAATACGCACTTTTTTGTATTTTTTCACAAACAACAGTTGACATTTTCAATTAGATATTGTTTATGAAGTTATAAATCATGTTGCACTCATTCACGACAATTTTGTCAGCGTACAAGAAACAGAAAGAAAAAACATTTACGAAGTGTCGTTTTTTCCGGGATTCGTTCGTCTTCGTTTCGTCATGTCGTCGTATTTCTTTTATTTTTTTTGCTATCTCTCTCTTTTTCTCTTTTTTCTCTTTCTTTCTCTCTCATTTTCCGATTCTCCTTATCATAATTAGTGCATCCCGGAGTCTTATGATGACATGGTCGGCGTATGGATGTATGTGAGATTGTGTTCTAGTGTGTTTTTCACATCTGCGAAAAATCTCTCAAATAAATAATTACATAAAGTATTTGTGTTGCTTTATTTACTTATTTTTGTTGAGCTTAAAATTTGACGTGGTTATAAAACATTTAAAAATTTGAGTCACGAACTTCAATTTTTGTCAATAATTTGAAAAAGAAAACAATATATTAATAAAATACTAAAAATTGAGGGTTTTAAATGTATCAAAGTATGAATAAAGTGGTTATGTTGTGATAGAATGTATATCAAACTCTATGATTCTGTATCTCTCTCTCTCTATATATATATATATATATGAAAATATTTTTATTACTCAAGTGTCTTCTTACATTCATAACTTTTGTATCTCCATTTTGCGATTTAGTTTCTTTTTGAGATTGTTTTTTATTATATTGTCTCAAACATTTAAATTGTTCAAAAATATCTAAAAAATATTGTTAAAAGTTTATAAATTCAGTCTCAATAAGAATATAATATTTTAATAAGTGAATTAGATTTACTTAAATAACAAGTCACTCGTCCTATCAACTTTGTCCTAAAATTATTAGATCCGGCATTCAGTGAAAGAAAGAAAGGAATAAGAATTCTTAAAAATGGCCAAGAAAACGTACGATTTGCTCTTCAAACTTCTCCTAATTGGGGACTCCGGAGTCGGAAAAACATGTCTGCTGTTCAGATTTTCAGACGACGCATTTAACACGACGTTTATTTCTACCATAGGTCACTACCATAATTTTTAAAAATTTTTTCTTTGTCACAATACAATGACACAATCAAATCATTAAAAGTTAAATTTAATTTGTTTTATAAATTATTTATTGTTATTTCTGTTTCAAAATGTCCATATTTCATTCTATTAATACAATGAGTGCCCCCTTTTATGTTTTAAGGCTCATCTTAATCTTTTTTAATAATTTGTATTTTATAATTGTTTAACATTTTAATAATAACAATGAGTGCCCCCTTTTATGTTTTAAGGCTCATCTTAATCTTTTTTAATAATTTGTATTTTATAATTGTTTAACATTTTAATAAATATTTATTTTTTCTCCATTTGGATTTTTTAAACTTTTAGGGATTGATTTCAAAATCAAGACAGTGGAGCTTGGAGGCAAAAAAATAAAGCTTCAGATATGGTAAAATTTAATTTTAATAAATTTTAATTATAATCTCATACACAGACAAACGCATATAAACAAACTGACGCTCCCACACATACACACTACCACACATACACACCACCTTGCATACACACTACCACATACACACCACCACGCATACACACTACCACGTATACACACTACCACCACACACATACACACCGTCACTCGTACAGGGACACAGCCGGCCAGGAGAGGTTCCACACAATAACAACATCTTATTATAGAGGGGCCATGGGGATCATACTGGTCTACGACATAACCAGTCTGAAAACGTTTGAAAATATTTCAAAATGGCTACGCTATATTGACGAGGTTTGCACGATTTTAACATTAATGGTGATTAATAAATGATTATCAATTAATACTAATCTGTAAATTTTCATCTATCTATCTACTTTACATATCTATCTCTCTATATATCTATCTAACTATCTATCTATCCATCCATATATCTATCCAATTCAGTAACAATTTTATTTGGTAAATGCATGATACAATTGTATGTACAAACCGGTATAAATAGTGAACTAAAAGAATGGCTTTGATTAACCTATCTAACTATCTAAATATTCATCTATCTATTTGTTTATTTACTTGTAATTTTATTATGTTACAATATGTTTATAATAATTCTCTCTTCTATTCATGTTTTTTTTTATTATTTTCAATTAATTAATTAATTAATTGATTAATTAATTATAACTCTTTCTCTTTCACACAACAAGCATGCCAATGCTGACGTTGAGAAGATGATTCTTGGAAACAAATGTGATATGGAGGACAGGAGGCAGGTCCCTAAGGAGAAGGGTCAAGAGGTCAACTATAACTTTATAATTATTAAATTATAATTTAGTTTCTATTTAAGTACAATTGAGTAATTATAAAACTATATTCAAATAATTATTCTTAACTCATCCTGGGCGCTACAGATGCTGTATTAAATGACAAATTATTATTATTATTATTATTCTATATATTATATTATAATTATATTATATTTAATATTAAATTATGTTGTACTTATATTAGATTGTCGTAATAAATTAATTATAGCAATAATAATATTAATATAATAAATCATAATAGATAGCAGACCAGCATCACATCCCATTTCTTGAGACCAGTGCTAAAAGTAATGTCAATGTTGAGAGAGCATTCTTACAGTTGGCACAAGCCATTCTAGATAAGGTTTGTCTATCAGTCTATGTATGTCTGTCTATGTCTTTCTGTATGTCTATCTTTCTGTTTGTCTGTCTATGTCTTTCTGTTTGTCTATCTATTTGTCTGTCTGTTTATCTATTTGTTTGTCTGCCTGTCTATATTTTTATTTCTTATTGCCTTTATTACTACTGTTGTTTTAGCTTTCATTTTTTGTTATTCCTAATATTAGCATTATTCATGTGTGCATGTGGTTGTACTGTATATACAGTACATTTATGTATTTATGCAAGTGTGCATATGTGTGAACAACTGTAAAGTTAATAGCATTTGTATTGCTAAATGTTAAATTGCTCATACATGGATGCATATACACACACATACACATACATACAAACATACGTACATACATACAAACATACATACACTCATACATACATACACACATACATACAAACAGACATACAAACATACACACATAAACACATGTTTTTTTCATCATTTAATACTATATCCAGTTTGTGTTAAACAAACATTCCATATATTTGAAGACTGTTAAATTGAAGTTAAATTATTTTTTGAGAGATAATGTTTTCACAAGCCAGACACATAATAGGTTCAAGTTAATGGTTTATTTGTATATTTTATTGAATATGCTGGCTCTATGTTTGGTAAATAAATACATTTATAAATACACACAAATGCAAGAACATTTTCTGAATGATTCTTTCCCATATTGAATAAAGCTGACAAATTTTTGTACACAAGTATGTATGCATGCATGTGTGTATGTGTGCTTGCGTGTGCGTATGTATGTTTGTATATATAATATCCATACATATATAGCTCTATAGTAAGAGTTTTAGAAACCTAATCCTATGAGAAACATGCTGATAACATGAATGTGAATGGACTGCAACAATAATAATTATTATATAACTAATATTTATTATTGTTGTTGTTGTTGTCATTGTTGTTGTTGTTAGTTGTAGTAGTAATACTGGCACATTAACATATAATACTTGAGTTAGTTCATAGTACATGATGTTATGAATGGACAACCGGTTGGCATGTAATGATGTGATTGATGATGTGCCAACAACCTGAATACAAAACTTAGTAAACTGTGGATATGAGTGATATCAATGGAAATACATTTGAAGATTTATTAACGAGATTATTTATTTGGTTACAAGTGTATGGTATATGCCTGCTACATGTGTGCCTGCATTTGTGGGGATTGTGCCTTGCAAGCATGCTAGTGCATTTCATATGTGTAAGATATTATGAATAATAATAATAATTATTATTATTATATTAATGATATGCATGGTAATGATACACTGCTCCAACCATGTTAGTCAAACAGTATGGTGCATTTTCTACATTCCTCTACACTGGTTCAATCTTTTTTTTATATCCAATTATCTTTCTCTTTTTTTCAAATTTTTTAAATAAATAAACAAACATCTTAAAATTGGGTGTGTGTGAAGTGTGTGCGCAAAGTGTGTGCTTGCTTCTTTTTTGTTTGTGCGCGTGTGGCTCGCGTGTTTGTATGCATATTTTATGAATGTTTAGTTGATTTCAATTGAAATGTGTTGCATATTAGTGGGTGACATATGCCTGTATACCTATAGTTGTGGGTCGTATGTGAGTGCGTCTCTATGTGTATGTGTATGTTCTTTCATGTTGCTATTATGGGCTTGTTTTACTTGTGTGTGTCTGTGCGGTGTGTGTGTGTGTCTGTGTGTTTGCGCATTACTGATGATAACATAAATAAAGTAAACTCTTCCTAATATTTTTTTTCTCTATCTATCTATCTATCCTACCTATCCCTTTTTGCTTATCCATATTATAATTTAATAATATTCAATTAATATATGGTGCCATAATTTCGCAAGGGTATAAAAACTGTGAAGAGTTTTACTATAGCCAAATTGTTGGAAAACTCAACTAGCAATTGTATGAGTTTAAAACAGCTTAAAAACTTAATATGTCAACTCAGAAGTCCTCGATGAACACAAACCAAACCAGTCTTGTGAACTTATCCATTCCATCCAACTAACGCTTGAAATAATAAAAACCATAAACAACCGAACAAATAATTTAATAATGATATGATAGAAAATAGCAATACAATGAAATTATGACCATAATTATTAAATATAATTATCTACAACATAATTATTTACAACTATAATTATTTACAACATAATTATTTACAACATAATTATATTTAACTTGAGCAGGCTCCGAGCAAGGATGTTAATCCCAGCAAGCCTGGAATCGATGTAGGGAACAATCAAAACACTGGAAGTAGTGGATGTTGTTGATCATTCCTATACAAACCTTATAAATATATATATACATATATGTGCATATATATGTATATATATATGCATATATATGTATATATGTACATGTAATTTTGTATACATATGTATATATTTATATATATTATTTATAAATATATCCATGTTATATAAATATATATAACTATATATGTGTTATATATATATATATGCACTTTTAGTGTAATTATTATTTTTATTATTATTATTATGGTTTATTCTTATTACTATGGTTTGTAATTTTTATTATTTTTTGTTGTTCTATTTATTATTATTATTATTATTTCAATTATCGTTGGAGCTATTACCTATTAACGTTTTGAAAATCTTTCTGAAAATTTGGTAATGAATTTATTGATAAATTGATTTGATCTGTCTGTTTTCGGTTTTATTATTATAATCATAATAATAATTATTATTATTATTATTATTGCTAATTATAAAATTATACCGTCGTCATCGTCATCATTATTATTAAAATTATTATTATTACTATTACTTATATAATTATTGTTATATATATGTTTAACTGCATGCTGGTACCTCTGGTTGACAATTACTCCATATAGTTTAATCATTAGGGGATAAAGCATGGTCTAAAAATTTCGGATAGTTGAATGTCTATCTATTTATTTATTTATTCATTTTGATTTGGTATAAAATTCTTTATCATTATCAATAATGGCTCTTTGATTTGGTATAAAAATTTTTATCAATAAGATCTATCACAGTGAATCTTTTCTTCTCTCTCTCTCTCCCTCTCTCTCTCCCTTTCTTTCTTTCCCTTCCCCTCCCTCTCTCTCTCTCTCTCTCTCTCTCTCTCTCTCTTCTCAGTAATTGCATCATATCATTTGTAGTTTATTTTCTCGTTACATACCATCCCTCTGTCGGCAATCCTCTTACATACTGATTAAATAATCGACATCATAAAGTACATGCTAATTGGTGGAAACTATATTTCTGGTGATTTATTGAATTGTTGGGTTTTTTTCTTGTGATTAGTTTGATTGACTGTATACTCTTTTTTTTAGTTTAATTTACAATTTGTTAGTTTGTGTGCGTGTGTGTGTATGTGCGTGCATGTGTATGTGTGTATTCCTGACAGAGTAATTGTTTAATAGTTTTATTTTCATTCTAGAAAAATCTACATTGTGTTAAAGCAGTTTGAATATCATATATCGATTTCTAATGTATTCAGTTCAGTGGCTCTCAACAATGTCGAAATTTCATTCGCAATCTGTTTTGGCAATTCATACAAATAAAGTTAAAACTATCAATTCCTTCATTAATACATTAATTAATTAATTCATTCATTCATATGTTTGTTACTTCATTTATTCGCTCCATCCATTCTCTATCTCATTCAATCCAGTTTAATGGGTTTTTTTTTATTTACATACTATCTGAATGAATACGGCTTCGATTGCCAGTTTAATAATATACAAATTGCAGTGTAATAAATATAGTGATAGCAACTATGTTCATGTATTTTTTAATTTTTTATTATTACCATTATTACGTTATTGCTATTTTATTGGTTAATTATTAATGAATTATTACTATTATTAATTTAATTCTTCACAAGAGAATCTTTTTTTAGTTATGCCACTTTTTAAGTTTATCTCTTTGTTTATCTGTAATTTGTATTTATTTCAATTTGAAATTTATTCATCGAATCCTGGGAGTGTATGTATAAATGTATGTGTGTGTGTGGTATGTGGTGTGTGTGTTTGTTTGTTTGTTTGTATATTATTAAGATGAGATGCAACACTGTTTTATATCAATCAATCAATAATTGATTGGATTTTGATTGATTAATATAAAACTAATTGATTGGTTGATTGATTGATTGATATAAAACTAATTTATTGATTGGTTGATGCAACACTGTTTTATAATCTTTTTATTTTTTAGGGGGTTTTTCCTTTCCATCAAAAATTGTAACAAATCGGTCTATAATCGTTACTCAATTGCTATTTAACTGTAACCTAATTATTATTTATCCGTTGCTTAATTGTTACTAATCTGCATCATTGATCAATCAGTGTTAGGTATCTCTTACGTAATTAATAATAAAAATTATCTCTTACGTAATAATGCCTTTATATGGCATGCTACTTATTCATATTTCGTTTTGTTATTATTATTATTATTAATTATTTGTATTTTAGGATTTTTATTATTGCTATTAATGATCGTCGTTGTTATTTATATTATTATTATTAATTATTATTTTTTAATTATTCTTCATTATATTATTATTGTTGTTGTTGTTGTTGTTGATTTTTTTTCTTGCATCATTGTCCTCCATTCTGTAGTATGTTGATTTTTGAAAAAATTTTGTAATTGTTGTCATTTATATATATATATATATATGTATGTATATATATATATATATATATATATATATATATATATATATATATATTCATCTCTTTATCTATATATATCTTTATTTATTTTTTGGTATTTTTAATCCATAGTAGAAAATAAAATTCTTTATCTGATTAATTTTGTCTCATTATTATCTTTTTTAAAAAACTGTTTAATTATTATTTATTTATATATTTATTACGAAAATTATTATATTTGTTTTCATTAAAAACGTTTAAGCTTTATAATGTCATATAACAAAATGGTTGTTATCGTTAGCACGGCTTCTGTTTGTTTAATTTTTTTTAGAAAAAATATCGAATAGATAATGTAATTGATACCTATGACGTGATGTCGATGCATACTGTGTAAAGCTGATGATACATGCGTGTGTTCTTGATACGTCTTACGTAATGATACTACAGATATGTAATGATACCGGGGTTTAATGATACTACAGATATGTAATGATACTGAGGTTTAATGATACACAGAATGTAAAGATTTCTGCGTTTGATGACGTACATGTGATGTAATGAAACATAAAATTTGTGATGTAATGTGTTTATGTGGTGATCAATTAAAACGTAATTATACGCTTGATGTAATGGTATTTTTAATGTAATTTTCGAACGTTGGACGGGTATCTGAGAATTTCAATAGTTCTTATAATGTATATATACACAGTGGGTTTAGAAGTGTTATATTTTTTTAATGTAATTAGTTAATTATTAATTAAATAATTAGATTATTAACTAATTGATTGGTCATCTTGAGAGTAAAGCATTCTGCAAAATTTAATTCTATGAGAGATGAATAAAGATTCTTGTTTGATGATTTTTTCGTTTAACTTATGCAGGCATACATAAGTTTATGATTTCCCTCTTTTTGACTCGTAGTTTTTTAAATATCCAATTTATAAAGTTAAAGTTTTGAAGTACCGTTCGTTTTTTTTACAACGAGTCCTTCTCAGTCACAATTTGAAGGCCGTAAACTGGTTCGGTGTTTGAACCAAGGATTGCCTGGTATTATCTCTTTTTTTTTGTTTATCATCCAGGCTCCGGATACTCTTTCATTCAGAGAGACGGCTCAGCCCGTAAGAAAAGATAGAAAATAGGATTAGATAGATCGAGGTCGACATGCTGTGATTAGAAATGTTGTGATTAAATGATTAGAAAAAATAGAAAAATAAAATTAGAAATGTCATTTTACTTCTTTCAAGACATCCGCTTCTAACATCAGCTGGTGCATTTGAAGATTGGATACATTTCTTCACAGCTCGTTTTTTATCGTTTGCATCATACGGAGACGTAACGCGAGCCATTATGATTTAATTAACTAAATAGTGTTTATTTCGACGTTGCTATTCGTGAGCCGTTTCGCTTGACGTTCCAATGTTCGGAATGTCGTGTGGTTTTTATTTGCATCGGTTAGGATTTACTCTTGAGATGGCTTTTATTTGAAAACAGAAAAAACATAACTTTGTTTAGCGTGTTGTTACATTTCTAAGATATGACGTTGTTTTTAAAATTTTGACACTGTCAGCTCTCTTGAGAGGTTGAAAAGTTTGAACAGATTTTAATCATAAAGTAAGACGTGTTTGATCACAAATAACACGAAAAAGGCCTGTCGACATAGAATAATCTTGATAGCGATGCTTTTAAATTAGGCGAGACAATGGTAGTGATGGTATTCAGAACCTTATATAAACATGAGTTTCAAATGGAAAACGAAAATAAGTTGAAAAACTGTAGGAGCCCAAAACAAGCAATGCATTCTATTTACCTGATATTCGTTATTACCGTCGTCCTTAGCTCCTATACATTTGTTACAGGTTAGCTTACATTTTATTATACTATTTTCAAGAGGTCGAGTGAAGTTTGAAACAATGTGTAACTTTTAAATCTTTTTTTTATAATTTTCTAAACTTATAAAAATGTTAAACTTATTAACTTATATGTTTTTGCACCACACAACTTCGACATAATCAACGGTTATTATTTTTGCAATTACACTTCACAGAAACAAAATAAGAAACTCTCAAAATTCTATAAAAACTGATTACAGGCATTAACGCAAAAATTGACTTGGACGAAGTAGTGGCAAACAGACCAGGCAAACCATCAGCGAGATTTTACAACCTGGCCGCAAACGCCGACGACTCGTACAACGGCAACGATGAAGGCTTCCAACAGCAGATAAGACACATCAGAAACTGGCTGAAGTACGGAGGATTGGGAAAGAAAGCGAGCACTGAGCCGCTGCTGATGACCAGGTTTGCAGGCCTTGGCAAGAGATCCACTTATCACAGAGACGAAGATATATTTGAATATTGACTTGCACGTAAGAACATTCAAGACATTATTTATTTTATCCCAACTCAAATATTATTATGACGCGATATAATATTCATTTACTTTTGGATTTTTCTTTCACGTTGAAAACTATTTAAACCAACAGAAGCGAGATGATTTTTATTAATCAGACATCTACCGATAAATAAATTTGCATTACGGCATTCGTAAACCTTGAAACGTGAATAAAATAACTAATAAATAAATGAAAATAAAAAAGTCATTGTATAATAATAAGTTGCCTAAACACCTTGTTACTTTATTAGCACTACAAAACAATTTAGCATTCCATATATTTACAACTTGGACATTGTTAATAAACTTTAAGCAGAGTTAATAATGATAAATTTATCAAACAAGAGACATTGAACAAATCTCAACTTGATGTTAAGTAGAAAGAGAACTCCACGAATAACTTATTGAAAAACTGAAAAAATTGGAGGACAGTATCATAAAAGAGAAACAAACGCTTGTCAACTAGGAGCAACAAACACTCACATCATCACAAACGTGTATAAAACAATTACACAATTCATATTTGACACGTAGCAGCACAATCTTTTTTCAAGCTGGTAGAGCAAATTTCTTTCCCTTCCAAACTGAAAAAATAAATTAAAATTATTAACTTCACATGGAATAATTAATCTAATCCAAATCGAATTAGACCAATCATGAAATCTAAATGAAATAAAACTTATTAAATGCCTAAACAGGAAAAAAACCTTTAGTTATGTAGAGATAGAAGAAATCACAATATAGAATAGTCTGGACACAGCCGGCAACAACAGCAATGACATCAAAGAAGTTCTCCATATAGTGGCGATAGATCCAGTTGAAAATGTAGAAAGCTCTGTACATGCCCAGTGAAAACAAATAATGACTTGTGATCGTCTCTGCCTCTCCTGTTTTACTGATCATAAAGAGCTGGGGCAGGATGGCAACTGATTCCAAGTAAATTGAGAATGTCCACAAGATCTTAAGGAGAAAAAAGGATATGATAATGGATGATTATTTAATAAAAACATTTCTCATATTCAGTCTTCAAAAAAGGAAAATATGCATTAAAAATATTACAATTTTTAGAAATTAAATTGCAAAACCAAGAAAATACGAAAACTAAATGCAAAACCATCATATTGTTATAAAATTTACACACATTTAAAAACACTCCTTAAACACAAACCTCCAGGACAGCAAAGACATGATGGAATACCAGAGCAAAAATGGCCGAGAAAAGGAGAAGAAATTCAATGCGAAATGTATCATTCGAATGGTTGTAGGTGGCCTTGAACTTGAAAAATATCAAATAGAGTGTGGCATAGGAGGATACAATGAACAAGACCTTCATGGTTGAGTTATATACCGACACAAATGATGTAAACAGATCTAGATATCTGGTCGTGTACACCAAGGCAAACAGGATCTGAGATTTTGCTGATATACCTTTTAAATTGAAAAATAAATTACCATTATAATTATCATTATATTATATTAGAATTAAATTTATATTTATTATATTGTTAAAATTTAGCAATGAATCAATTGTTTTATTGAAACCATTATCAAATCATCAAACTAACTGTCGATCATAAATAATAAAATAATTCATTAAGCTTAAGAATCAGAAGTTAAGTTTTTTAATAAATTTTGTACTATCTGATCATAATAATAATCATAATAATGGGTTCTTACTAATGCTAATCCTATACAACACACCTATCTCTATACAATATATATACACATTACACAGGGTAATTACTTGATTTATTTTTTATTCATCCATTATTCATTATCATTATGTTATTCATTATTATAATTTTTCATATTTATACTCATAGCCATCACTTAGCAAAAAACAACCAGATTATTACAATTAAATTAAAAAGGAACCGAAATTTTTCAAGTTTTAGTTTTGTGAAGTAGGAAAAATTATTTTATAAAAAAAAATTGAAAAATTTACAAAAAAATAAATAGAATGGCAAGACCTGCACATGATCTGGTCTTCCAAATCTTCATGAGCAAAATGATGATGGCCAGAACGTGCGATAAATCGCCAAACAATCGAAAAATGTTCATCTTGAAAACTTTCACAAAACCAAAACTATTTCTGACAAGTACACCGCTATCACAGAGTAGACGGAAGTGACTTGTTTATTGTGAATATTTAAAAGGTAATGGAAGTTATCAGTGCAACTTTTTTTCATTGCCCATTTACTTAAGTCTGAGTAGAATACAAAATATGAACATATCAATTCATCAAATTTATACAAAGTGGTGACGGATCTAGACTTTTGTTCGCGTAATCGCTTGACATTTATTATTAAGTTGCAACAATTTGCTGTCTGAATTGATAGTCGGTCCCACCCACCGCTTGAAGGCTGTAGCACCAGGACTAGGCTGTTGCTCGAGAACATCATCACATCATCACCATATCACCTCCCAACAAATAAGTGAACAAAAAATCAAAAACAGCCTCCAAACTAAATACCAAAACACCATTCAATAGTACATCCTTGTTCAAATGACCAGAAATCACTCGCTAGGGAGTTAAACAATTTCAGATCAGCTCAGTCAGAGAAGCAATATCAAATAACAACTACACACCTTCAGTTTCACTCAATGAAAAGTATAATAACTATACACAAACTCATATTATTATCAATCCAATAGAACATACACTACTGCAACAATCTTAGCATAAAAATCAACTGATTTTTGGCAACAAGCATAACAGCAACGAATCTGGGCAACGCTGACGGGTGGGATGAGGGTAAAACAATTAAAAACTTTGAAATTTGACGGTGGCCAAAAATTTGACCAAATGTTCGCTAGTGTTACCGAAATTAGGCTAATGAATTTTTTTGCTTAATACACCAATTTTTAGTCCATTTTGTACATTTTAGAAGTTGAATTTTATTGACTTTTATATCAAACACTGCTCTCAACGAAGGAGGCCATGGCCACTGCCGCTGCCACTGTCAGCAGCGAACAATCGTCGTCCAGTCGGCACAGGTAGCCAATCGCGACGTAAATCATGGCATAATCTTAATAATAATTTAAAGCAGACGTTTCGTCGTTTAGTAGCACCTGGCCGATATTTTGTTTTCTTTCGTTCATGAGTGTTGTAATTTTTTGTGAAAGCCCAAATTAGGTTCTAATTAATTTATAAAATGGATGAATTGATTTTATTACGTTTTTAAACTATTTTTTAGCGTATTGCTTTTGAATTGTTACGTCTATGCATTTGCAATGACTTTAAAAAACATTGGAATTTAATTAAAAAACTTAATAGTGAGTTCTGTTGAGAATTTTTAGTTCTCTGTTGTAATTATTAATTAATTAATTATTAATAATTCTGATTGACAAAAAAAACTGTTTCGTTGTTTATTTGCCTGACGGAAAGTGGAGAGCATGAGTAACTGCGATTCATCGGATGATGTATATGATAAAAGTGATCAGGAAGCAGATTACATAGTAGACAACCTTCCCCAGGTCCTCCTTCAATATGTCAACATTTCCAGGAACTCCAGTTTAACTCAGTCAGCAGGAGAGTACCAGCAGGCCAGTCTGGAGTCCAACTCTTCGTCGATCATCAATGAAAAGTATTACGCAACTGAAAAGTAATTGCTTCTGATTTTTAAAGATTGTTGTGTTTTTGCAGATTAAATTTTGAGACTTAATGTTGATTTTTAATTTAATGATGATAAGCAAAATTTTTCAAATATAAGCATGTAAAATAACTTGTCAAAAATTTTCAAAACTTTTCATTTCATTATGAATGAAAAAAAGAGTTGTTGCCTTCAACATTATTATTATTATTATTTTTATTTACAGAGCTGGAAAGAAACTCAGTTCAACATCGTCTTCATCGAAACACAGCATTAGAGAACCATCACTGAACATAGCCTACCCTGCCAAGACACAAAACTATGAACTAAAAATACTTAGACAGCCAGAAGATCAGCATAGAGCTCGATACTTAACAGAAGGCAGTCGAGGAACTGTCAAGGACAAAACTGGCCAGAGTCATCCTACTGTCAGAGTTAGTTTTTCATTATTTTTTAAATTTAGTTAATTTTTTAAAAATGAACATAGATTTAATTGTGCCACTCTAAATCTAAATGCTTAGCAATGTTAGACTATTTTTGAAAAAATTTTTTTAAATAGTTGGTTGGCTGATTAGTTTGTTGGCTAATTAGTTGGTTTTTTCAGTGGTCAATTGATGGTTTTGAGTTGATGGTATATATTTTTTCCATTATATTTGCATTTTTTGATTTGAAAGCATTTGAAAGCGTTTGATTTAAAAATGGTTTTGAAAGCATATTCCTCACTTTTCTTTCACAATTACTTACTCTTCTTGCTAACTCATTACTAGTGATGAAATATTATATTTGTTGCAAATAAGGAATCCAATGTTAATGGATTGTGATAATCCATTGAAATTTAATCTAATTGTAATGTCATAATATTTAGAAACATTGTATGTATATATATATATATATAATGAGTGAGTTATATTAATTTTCTGCTTCAATTATCCTTGAAGGCTCATTTAATTTTAAGTAATATTTATTTGCTTGTTCATTCAAATTTTTGTTCATTCAATTCATTCATCTTTTTTCATTTCAGCTTTAAATTTCATTCAGTCATTCATTCATTTGTTCATTCATTCATTCATTTGTATCATTTACTCATTATTAATTAATTAATTAATTCATTCATTCATTCATTCATCCATTTTTTGTTCTTCTATCTCTTTTATTTTCTTTCTCTTTTATCTGTGAGTTCTTTCATTCATTCATTAATTAGTATGTCTAGCTATTTATGTTTGTGTGTGTGTGTTTTGCTGTTTTGGATTTTTTTTTTGACTGGTTGCAGTGAAAATGTAAGCAACATTGTAATTATTAATCAAGCAATTAAAACTATTTAACTTATGTACATACATACATACGCACGCACTCACACACACATACGTACATACATACATACATATATACATACATACATACATACACACACACACACACACACACACATACATACATACATACGGCGCGGAGGCGGACCAATTTGGTCATCATGGTTTGGTTTACCGTTTAGGTGGAGGCCGTCAACTTCGTCATTCAGCTTTGAATGATTACATTTGCCGGCTTTTTTCTAAAGCTTCTATTCCTGTTTTGAAGGAACCATCTGGCATTTCAGTGCAAGATGGCAAGCGACCAGACGGTTGTACTCTTACTCCCTGGAGAGCTGGTAAATGTTTGGCTTGGGATGTTACGGTTCCTGGTATCTTGGCCGAGCGCTACGTTCACCTTACCAGCAAAGAATGTGGTTTGGCTGCAATCAGGGCATCGGACGAAAAAATCAAAAAATATGAACACGCCCTGCCTTCCTTAGACTTTTTGCCAATATGTATCGAGGTCCTTGGACCCATGGACCCCAATACTTCAAAATTTATTAAAACATTGTGTAAAATGATTGGTGTCCGGTCAGGTGGCAACAGAGAGTTCTTTTTTGCAATAAACCACATCTCGTGTTTGTTGCAGCGATTTCTGCGTGTTTGTGTGTCGGAAAATATTAATTTAAACGCCAACGTGTGAGACTAAGGATACATTAAAGTGTTAACCCTTTTAATCAGATGTTTGACTGTTTGGTGTCATTCATCACGATTTGGTTTTAACATACATACATAAATACATACATGCAATTAAAATTATTTGATTGGTCCATACATTTTGATTGAGCATTTGATATCTTACACATGCATGCAGGTTATTGGCTTTTTCTTTTTTTTTATTCTAACTTCTTTCTTTCTCTCTCTATTTTTTCTATTCTTTCTCTTTCTGTCTGTCTTTTGTCTCTTTCTTTCATTTATTTATTTATTTATTCATTTCTTATTCATTCATTAATTCATTAATTAATTTATTCATTCATTCATTCATTTGTTTGTTCATTCATAAGTTACGTTATGCAACTTTATCATAATTTATTTTTTTTATGTGTATACTTTACAAATATGTAGCTTGGATGATGTGCTGTGACTTCATTATATATAGGGCACAATTAAATTTTTGAAATTCTAAGGGAAATAAATTTATAAATGTACACATTGATTGGTTACTTCATTCATATTTTAATAATACGCTGCATTTTTACACCTATCATCCATCAATCCATTCATAAGCTCACATTCATTCAATTGGTCATTCATTCGTTCGTTCGTTCGTTCGTTCGTTCATTCATTCATTCATTCATTCATATATATATATATATATATATATATATATATATATATATATATATATATATATATATTTGTCTGTGTGTATGTGTATGTGTGTGTGTGTGTGTGTGTGTGTGTGTGTGTGTGTGTGTGTGTGTGTGTGTGTGTGTGTGTGTGTGTGTGTGTGTGTGTGTGTGTGTAAGCTTTCAGGCACTGACTGACCATTGATGACACATTCCAGTAGTAGAAGCAGTTAGGCTTATGCTAACACACCCCTTCTAAATATAATTTCTTTCTCCCACTCTCTCTCTCTTTCTCTCACTCACTCTCTCTCTCTCTTTCTTTCTTTCTCTTTTTCACGTTTTTTCTTCTTATTTTTCTATTAGCTGCAACACACTTTTGCTTTTAAATACACTAAGCACACAGATATGCAACCACGTACACACACATGTACACACACATGCACACATTCATACTCACATGATAATTGATAAGTTGTTAATATTCAATCAATTTATACTGACACATAATCTTGCATTTAGAACAACATTATGAATAGTGTGTGTTTGTGCGTGTGTGTATGTATGTATGTAGTTTGTGTGTTTGAATTTGGATGTATGTACAGGTGTATATATGTATGTATGCGCGTATTTGTATGTATATATATATATATATATATATATATATATATATATATATATATGTGTGTGTGTGTGTGTGTGTGTGTGTGTGTGTGTGTGTGTGTGTGCATGTATGTATGTATATGTATTTATTTGCAAATTAGTGTACAATTCATAGAGCCAACTGGCAATTGTCTGTTACAGTTTATTACAAGCTCTCTGCTTTCTAAATGTTGTACTGCTTTTAGTTGAATTTGACAATTCATTTGTTATTTTTGATATTATTATGATAGTTATAATGATAATAAGGATGATGTTTATTTTTTTTAATGTTTTTGTAGATGTTATTTTCAAAAATTATTGAGGTTAATAGTAACCAATAAACAACACACACACTACACACACATACACACACACACACACACACACACGCACGCACACGCATATATTTATTCCATACTCACCCATACATAATGCATACAAAAGCATATTTAAATCAAATTCAATTTAAAATTTTGAAATGTCTAAGATGATTAATTTGATATTACTGAACTAAATAGGCCAAAAATAGGAAGACAGAAATTCAACCTTACTATCTCTCCATCTTTCTCTCTTCATCTCTCTCTCTCTCTTTCTCTCTCTCTCTCTCTCTCTCTCTCTCTTTTATATACAAACACACATATACATACATATGCTTACCGGTACACATATGTTTGTAGTCACATAGGAAATAAAATAATTGATCCATATATTTTAACTTTTTAATGGTTTTTATATAGAGTTTTACTAACTTTTACAGTTATTGGATAAGGCAATAACATGAAATCATAATGTGTATAAAGAGTTCGCTACTTTCAACCTTAACTCTAACAATAATATAATATATCCATCTAATATATCCATCTAATATATCCATCTAATATATCCATCTAATATATCCATCCCAACCAACGCCACCAAACAGCTGATAGGCTACGACAGACCGTGCACACTGCAAGTGTACGTCGGTACAGACACCGGCAAGTTGAAACCGCATGGATTCTACCAAGCCTGTAAAGTGACTCACAAAAATTCATCTGCCTGCCTTGAACGTGACATAGACGGTACCACCGTCATTGAGCTGCCATTGGATCCTAAGTCTGATATGACAGCTGTGTATGTTTTCTTGGCTCTTCGCTCTAGTTTTCTAGTCCATGCATGCATGCATGTCGTGTATGCGTGTGTGTGTGTGTGTGTGTGTGTGTGTGTGTGTGTGTGTTTATTGTATGTTTTTATCATGCTTATCATCATCATCGTCGTCTTCCACATTCGATGATTCGTCGTCGTCGTCTTCATTCATTTCTGTCATCATTGTTATCACCATCATCAACATCGTCATTATCACATCACCGTCTTCATCATCACTTCACCATCATCAACATCCTCATCATCACCATCATCAACATCGTCATTATCACATCACCGTCTTCATCATCACTTCACCATCATCAACATCCTCATCATCACCATCATCAACATCGTCATTATCACATCACCGTCTTCATCATCACTTCACCATCATCAACATCCTCATCATCACCATCATCAACATCGTCATTATCACATCACCATCTTCATCATCACTTCACCATCTTCAACATCGTCATCATCACCATCATCAACATCGTCATCATCACTTCACCATTATCAACATCGTCATCATCACCATCATCAACATCGTCATCATCACATCACCATCATCAACATCGTCATCATCAACATCATCAACATCTTCATCATCACCATCTTCAACATCGTCATCTTCATCATCGCATCGCTAACAGGGTAGACTGTGTGGGCATATTGAAGTTGAGGAATGCAGATGTGGAGCAGAGAGTGGGCATTGCCAAATCAAAGAAGAAGAGCACAGTGGCCAGGCTGGTCTTCAGGGTCACGATATCTGATGAGGAGGTCGGGTCAACGTATCACACACTACAAGTTGCTTCTAATCCTATCGTCTGCAGTTAGTCATTCAATAAATTGTTTAATGGTTTGATGGTTTGATTGGTTCCCTGGTTTACATGCACTAAACACATACACACACACACACACACACACACACACACACACACACACACACACACACACACTCACACAGCTCAGCCATCACATAAACAAACATACATACACAATCAGCTCAGCCAACGGGCATTCCAGAAATTTCCAAAAAATCCCTGACACAATGCAGCGTGAAGGGCGGAGAAGAGATGTTCATAATTGGGAAGAACTTCTTGAAAGGTACCACGGTCGTGTTTGAGGAGGTTTCAGGAGATGTGGTTCTATGGTCGAAAGAGGCTGACATAGATCAGGACTACTTTCAAGCTGTTCGTTTTTTCTTTGTTCACATGTTCATGTGTTCACACGTTCAGTCGTCTGTTTGTCAGTCTAGTTTTTAGAGATTAAGATATTTGACTTTTCATCTTTATTACTTATGTTTCGTTCATTTTCTTCACAGTCACGTGCATGCACATCCACATACAAACATACAGATGCACGTGCGCACGCACTCACTCATAAACACTTAACACCATCGATAACCACAACAGACGCATCTGGTTTGCAATGTGCCATCCTATAGAGATTTGAAGATACAAACAGCCATCGACGTTCAAATAATCGTTCATTCAGGGGGTAGGATGAGTGAACCGGTCTCGTTCACATATCTTCCCTGTTTGTTCTTCTCTGTTCATTCGTTTCTTCGTTCATTTGTTTATTCTTCATCATCGTTTTACCATATTTTAGTGTTTATTCGTTTTTTGTTTGCTTGTTCAATGTGTATGTATCGGTTTGTTGTTTGCTTTTAAGTTTTTAATTTTGTGTGTGTGTGATTGTCCCTCTGTTGATGCATTTGTGATTTCGCATATTGACACAGTGTGTCGCCCAGAAGATTGCCGCATCTATTCAGATGACCGACACGTATCGTCTGGCACTTTGAGGTCGCCGTCAGGTGCGTCAGATATTTTTTTGTCTGTATGTGTGTATGCATGTGATTGTTTGTGTTTATGTGTACTCGTATGTGTATAATTTCGTTCGTTTGTTCGTTTTAATTTTTCACTTCATTCTGCCGGTTCCAGTTTGTTTGTAATTTGCACAATGTTGCTGTTGTTAGATGACTAGAAAAATTCTTAAGTCAGTTAATCAATTGTTCAGGAGGGATTTTCAGCTAGTTGATTTATTTTGAATGTCACGTTAGAACTGACGGGTGGGGCCTTGAAGAGATCGTACGCCCTAACGACATCAGATGCATATGCCGAGGATTCCTGCGATGGTCTTCCCATCATCAAGAACGAGTCGAATCTTCACAGTCCCGATGACGGCAGCGTCCAGGGCGGCAGTGGCAGCTGCAGTAACAACGCTGCTGCTGCCAACAGCAACAACATACTACCTCTCAATTCCTCTCATGCGTTCAACAGCAGCTCCCTGGTGCTGCTAGCAAATGACATATCACAGCAGTCACCTTCCATACTGGACGGCATACTTCCTTCGGGTTTCAGTCAGAAAGACCTCATTGAAATTGTTCCATCTGATTCCGATTTTAGCAATTCGGCGACGGCCAGCATCGTAAATCAGTATTTAGAACCATCCATGTATGAGTCGAGTGAGGTGTCAACGACTTCAAATATACAGCAGTCTCCAACTGAAATTGATGTTAGAATTGGAGAACCACAGACCAAGAGAAAAGCTCACGAACTGCACCAAACAGATGACAGCAACGACGCAAAACAACTTCATTTGATCGTCGACTTGATGCACGGAGAGAACAACAGCAGTAACAACAACATGAACACGAACGACGCATCACCCAGCGCCATAATCTGGTCGCAGCCGTTCACGAATGCATGCGTGCTAACGACAAACCATCAGATCCAGTCGAACGATCCCATCATGAACTTCAATCAGTTACATCAGTTTCAATCAGCAGATGCTCTTCAGCAGGGTGAAAGCCTCCTAATGAATATCACCAACGCCAACCAACTGAACAACATCGAGTCAACCAATAGCTACCTCCAACAGCAGTCAGGCCCTATGGAAACCTGTCCATCGGATCTGAACATATCGGATCTTAGTTCCAGTGATATAACCCAATGCATCCTCACAGAGCAACTCTTTTCTACCCTCAGCGGCCCTGAGATTGAGACCTGTGTGGTGAACGATCTGACTCATCTGCAGAGAAATAACACTCCACAGTCGATGATGACCATGGGAAGTGGTCTGCCTCAAGATGTCAAAATGGACAACGTCACCTTTTCATGCCTCTCTGGTAGCAGTCAGGATTATAACATTCTAGATGAACACCACAACATACTGGCCGACCACGATATCAGTGGCATCTTAAACGATCAGCTGAGCGCAAGCGGTGCTGCTACGAAAGATAACACAATAACATGCAATCTACAGCAGAGTCTGTCCGAACTGAAAGATTTAACAATGCAGGTTGGAGTCTCCTCAACCTCGCACAATGCCCAACAGCTGAACAGTCAACAGTTTGAGTTGAGTTCGCAAGCACTGCAGCACACCAGCCATCAGCAGAATGCCATGATGACTGATTCAGTTGCTGGCGAGAACGTCTCACAGATCATAACAGCCGTCTTTCCAACGTCGAGTGAGGCATTCATTTTTCAGAAGTTATCATCTGAAAATTGTCAGAACATTAGGAGTGCCCCATCAGCTTTGCAGCGCATAGACGATTCGCAGCAACTCATCCTCGAAAGCAGTCTTCTGATGTCCCACGCCACTCAATCGTTACCTCAGTCGGCTGATCAAATTAGGATTGGCACAACATTTGACAGCAGCGAGCCAACAATGTTGTTGATGAACCAGCAACAACTCAACAACCACCTCGTTCCTGGTGCGACGGTTGTACTCAACAACAACAACTACACAATCATCGACAGCAATGCTAGCAATGCAAACATCATGCTGAATCAAGGATCGTGCAGTTTCAACGTCTTCACCGAGCCAATCCTAATACAACAGTCACAAGCCAATGAAGTCAATAACATCTTCCAGCAAACACCAGCCAATGAAGTTAATAACATCTTTCAACAAACACAAGCGAGTGATGTTGGCAACATGTTCCAACAACCAAGTGCTGAGAACCAATCTTTATTCCAAGGTTAATTGGCTTCAGGAATTTACATTAGTGTTGAATAAATGATAACAACTAATTTTTGTATATATAAACTCTTATACTTTTATACTCTTATCTTTTAAAATCTCCAAGATCCAGTGCACATGTTACAACATTCTACAAACAGTGAACATTCGCCTGCCATTTCGGCACCAAACATGTTGTCATCACATCAGCAGCAGCAACAGCAGCAACAACAATTACAGCAACAACAACAACAGTTACAACAACAGCAACAACAATTACATCAACAACAACAGCAGCAGCAGCAAAGTCTGATGAACCACACAGATCAGAAAACCATCCTCTATCAATTACTGACTGATAGTTTTGGTAGCCCAAGCGGTGATGACAACGACATGCTAAGTAGTAATACATCCCTACCTGCTCTAAGCGCTGACGATGGTGAGTAGGACACTGTTTACACATGTTCTGATTCATTGATATTTTTTTTGATAGCGCTTTTGAGATCCTTTTAATTAGCGCTTTATTAAATTTTTCATTAAAAATAATAATAATAATTGTACCACTTATCCTCAGTGCTTCTTACAACAACAATTTGAAATAGTTCTTCAGCTGTTATCGTTTTTCCAACATGCGTTAGAATAATAATTTTAAAATTATAACAAGAATCTTTGAGTGAATACTTGATTGAATTCACACATTTATCTGTACACCTTTTTCTAATCATAAATTTATATTATTATAAATATAATTATAAACGCATTATTATTATAATAAATAATAATAAAAAAAATCGCTTCACAGTGAATAGAGTTTTGAATATGACGTCATCTTCCTCCTCCGGCCATGAGGCCCACTGACGAAGTTGTAGTACCTGCCTGACTGACCACAATCACCGTCGTCATCATTAATTAGTCCATCAACTGACCATGTACATGTTGCTACACTACGGTGGACATGCATTGTTCATTATGTATTCATGCGTAATTATTATTAATATTGTTATTATTATTATTATTATTATTATTATTATTGTTGTTGTTGTGTTGTTGTTGTTGTTGTTGTTTACATTATAATCTACATTATAAACGTTGTAAGCACCTAAACTAATTCATTAATATTAATTTCATCGGTATTGATGCTACAATTATTTTGATTATGATTATTACTAATAATGTTATTATTATTACTATTATTATTATTATTATAAATTAATATTATTATTATAACATTATAATTATTATATCATAGTTAATTTATTATGACCAGGTTGAAAGAAATATGGACAAGAATACTACTTACAATTCTTCAAATAGTTTTTAATAAAAGACTGTCTCATTACAATGTTTATAAGTGTATATATATATATATATATATATATATATATATATATATATATATATAGATATATATAGATATATATATATATGTATATATAACGTTTATATCGATATATCATTCATCTGATATAATGTATCCTCTGCATATAAATATCAAATTGATTGATTGATTGGCTTATAATTGATTCATTTACAGATTGATTGAGTAAACGAATGAATAAATGAATGAATGATTAATTGGATGAATGTATGAATGAATGAATATCGATTATTTGAATGAATGATTAATTGAATGAATGAGCGAATGATTGATTCTCTAGATAGATAGAAAAGTATAGTTGTGTATAAAGTTAACTGCACCAAAAACATGTGACATCACGTGCACTTCACATAGAAATTAATTATTATGGACCGCTAATTTTTTAAAAATATTTTCTTTTGTAAGGTTGACAATTATTTTTTTATTGTATCACGTGTTATATCATCTTAAAAGTCTTCAAATAATAATAATAACTATTATTATAATTGTTATTGCTTTTATTATTATCATTATTCAGTGTTTTTTAATCAGTTTGGTTTTATTCGTTGATTTTTGGTTATTAAAATTATTCCAAAAAAATTATGTTTATATAACATAATTTTTAAAGACTATCATTGTTCGTTCGACAAGGGTATACTTTGAGATACATGTAGATATAGATCAGGGGTGGGCAATTTTTTTGCTGTGAGGGCCGCATTGAGAACTACTTTACCTTTGAAGGGCCGCATATGTACTTAAATAGCGAATGTTTTCGACCCGGGAGAGGGGTTAGAATTTTTTTTTATGATTTTTGGTTCCATTTTTGGTCATAATGTCTGGCTGACGACCTTTCTTAGTTTGCCCACCCTTGATATAGATGAATGAATAAACGAACGAATGAATGAATGAAGGCATGAATGAATGAATGCATATGAATGAATGAAGGCATGAATAAATGAATGCATGAATAAATACTTTTTTGCTGGCATCTGTTACTAACTAGAATTTTGAGTTTGATAATCATAAAAAATTACACTGTAAATTACAATGAAATTATTTTTGGCGCGTTGATATTTAAATTAATTTTCTTCGTGTACTTTTCTGATTTACCCAAATTTTTCCATAGCGATTTCACTTTTGGATGTAAAGTCTTCACATGTGTTGTATTTAAATGTAACAAATATTATTAATCTGATGATCTTTTACTACTACTACTGCTACTACTATTACTACTACTATTGCTACTACTACTATTGCTACTACTACTACTGCTACTGCTTCTGCTGCTACTATTGCTGCTGCTGCTACTACGACTACTTTCATTGCTACTTACTACTGCTCAGACAGTTTCTCTGTTACTTTCTTTCATGATGATCATTTACATTTTAATTTTTGTAAATTAAAAACTTCGGAAGAGTTTAATCTGCATTAAAATGGATTTTTGTATAATGTTATTAAATGAATTAATAACAATATCAATGAAAGGCAATATATATTTATCGTGTTATTATTTCAATTTTTAGTAATCCCACATTTTATATATAGTAATACTTTCAGTATTTATAATTATTATATTATTATTTTATTATTAATCATAATTATTATTGTTATATTGATAAGTAATAAACTTATGCTCACTTTGATCTAGCCAATATCGTAAACATAGTCAATATATTATCATTATAACTGCTGTTGTCTGTAAATGAAAAATTGTTATTATCGATATGATACGACATTTTATTTGCCTCCAAACGAATATCTATCAGTAATCTACCACTAACCCTTTCGAGAAGATTTCAAATACCTGTGATTGAACATTTGTCAAGTAGATTTTACTTTTTATAGTTTATTATGTGTCGTCGATTGCACGTGTGTTCGTGTGGTATGTAGTGTGTGTATGTGTAGTGTGTGTATGTGTAGTGTGTGTATAAGTAGTGTGTGTATGTATAGTGTGTGCGTGTGGGTTTGTGTGTGTGTGTGGTGTGTTAGATTTAGGCGGAGACTTTGAAGCAAATAATTTTTGTGTGTATATGCACTGCATTAAAACATTGAAACCTGTTCAACCCTGATTTTATTACTTATTTATTTAGCATGTATCGTTGTATAATGTTTGTACGTGTGTATGTATGTTCGTAAACAGTTGAAGTTTTTTTTTTTTTTTCTGAAAAATTATTATTTTGTTTCGTTCTTGAGAAATAAAATCTTAAAATAGTGTTCTCAGTGGTCTACGATGTTTTAAACAGAAATTCTATGTTATTAAGAGGAAATTAATTGGAAATAGTTAAATAATTATCTCATCATATCACGCGCTTCGCACGCACTCACACACACACACACACACACTCACACACACACACACATATATACTCTATTTGTGAAAATAATTACTAAACATTAGTAATTTATTTAACTTTTATGATCCATTCAAGATGTATAATTAAACATCTTGGCGTTCAGATCATTAAGTCATTAAGATTGTTCAAAAAGGTACATTACAGAACCATTCATCTAAATGTTATTTTTCATTTTTCTGCTCACGTATTCTATTTTAGTAGTTGGACTTTCTTGTCACAAAGGCTGTTGTACTATTCACACCACACGACGGATAAACCGTATTCAAAAAATGGCAACGTTCGAGATGTAACGTAAAATATTTTGATGTTCAGCTGTTTTTGAAGAGAGAGTCTACCAGTGACAGGTCTGTTGCCTTTTGTTTCGCAGGAGTTTTATTGAAACTTTGACAATGACTTCACCTTTCACCTCAAAAACTATTTTGAAAGTTTAGTAAATTTATTTTATTGCTTTCACAAAACTTAATGGCTACTCACATTTCTAATAATTTACACGTATAATATGTACCAGGAACTCAAGAAGTGTTTTCAAACAATATTACAGATATATCAATGTAACAGATACAATATAAAAACAGATAAATATCGAATAAATAGATACAAATAAATAAGTAGATGAACAAGCAATTTTTAATTATTTAATTTATTCATCAACCTAATCACAATCAGATCTGCAGTAGTGTAGTTCAACCAGGCACGCCACGCAACAACATCAATACACGTATATGATAACAATGTGTGTATATACATACATGTATGTATGTATGTGTGTGTATGTTTGTGTTTGTGTGTGTGTTTGTGTGTGTGTGCGTGAGAGAGAGAGAGAGCGATTGAAGAAAGACAGAAATGAATCAACCTTAAACATGATAGAAAGCACACACACACACACAAACACGCGCATCATAGATAGACACGAATTATACATGCATCACGGGCATCAATTTATCTAAGTTGTTTAGTTTTTATATCAAGATAGAATTCATCACGAAAAAAAATAATATCCAGTAAAAATTAAAAAAACAAATTTGTTTTACAAAATAATATTGACACTTATAACTGACAATTATAAATATTTATAATACATCAATGAATGAATGAACGAATGAATGAATAAATGAAAATGAACGAACGAACGAACGAATGAATGAATGAATGAACGAATGATATAAGAGAAACCCAACAACACAAAGCATTGCTGAATACCTATTGTCTACATACGCAGACAATAAAAAAATACACGAAATAATATAAAAATACATGCTTTGATACTTCAACAACACTAAAATATGATTTTTCAAAAGCTGTTGTCACTCGACAACTCCAACCAAAACATTCGCATCTGCAGAATTCATTCATCCGCTCCATGCCAGTCTGGAATTTAAAACTAAAATTGTCCTATGACGTAACACACTTCACTATGGAGCAAAATCGGAAATGACGTCACACATTCATTAGAAATTTTTCAACAGAGAATGGTCAGATGGCAGATTAATATTGATTGCTTGCTCGTGTGTTAATACATGATTTGCAAAATCGCCGCAAATTTAACCTAAAGTTCAAGCGCTATGGTTCAATTCGCGTGTTAAAATTCCACGAGCCTACACCAGATACAACCGTAGATATATAAAATCTATGGATACATCGCATAATTCTTACTAAATGTAAGTAACTATATATGAGAAATGCGCTAAAATTAAGTACTGCGTTTGATAATGAAAGTTAATTATTAATATAATAACTATTTATAACGTTTTAGCGATAATTGAATATAAATTAATAACTAGATAATATATAATTGTGTTTGAGTCACACAAATAGGTACGTCAATAATATTGAAAATGACATAACTGAGCGCTACATAATGTACGACTTATTGCATTAATACACTCATTAATACACATATTTAATCGTTTTATAGCTATTGATTACACACACTCACACACGCCACACACACACACACACACACACACACCACACACACACCACACACACACACACCAAACACACACACACCAAACACACCAAACACACACACACACACAATTATTGACTCCTCTGTTGATAAATCAAGAGTCGTGCACAACACATTACTGTACAATACAAATTACAAAACAATACAATACAATACAAATTACAATACAATATAATACCATACAAAACACTACAATACAAAAAACACATACACAAACACTAACATATATACACACACGTGTGTATATGTTAGTGTTAGTGTTTATTGTATTGTAATGTTTTGTATTGCATTGTGTTGTATTGTATTGTAATTCGTATTGTAATTTTTCTTGTGATAAATTAAATATAAATTTCACGATATATACATATATCTTCTTAAAAATTTATAACTAATAAAGCGAACTCATTGATTTCTATTACGTAATGTATCTTTGAAATGTTATGATATCATGATATCATATCATAAAAACCACATAAGATACCAAATAAATTACAACCATACAATAAAAAAAAGTGTTACCAATCGTGTTAATATTTTTATTTATTTTATTAAACAAATTTATTTCTAGTTAATATTCTCGATAAATTCACGTTTTTGAAGTAGTAGTTGAGTATTTCAAACAATTTTTTTTTCACATTTACTGTTTACTTAATTACTAACTAAAAACGGTAAATCGAAAAATACATATACACCAAATATACATATTTGGTTTAAGTATTTTATTTATACTTACATAGTAATTATTAAACTTTATTGTCACTATGTAATATGTTTTTCGAATCAATAATGTGTTTGCCTTGGCTGATGTTGCTATTCTAGCTGTTCGTTTGTTGTTGTTGTTGTTGTTGATGTTGTTGATGTTGTTGTTGTTGTTGTGGTTGTGGTTGTTGTTGTGGTTGTTGGTCCGTGTGTCTTTGTTGATCTGTTTGCTTGTGTTGTTGTTGTGGATGATGCTCTTGATTTCGTTGATGTTTGTCGTGATCTGGAAGTTGCTGCAGCGGCGATTGCGGCTGCCGTTGGGGCTGAGGTTGTTGCTGCTGCTGATGATGTGGTTGTTGTGGTTGATGCATGTTCTGCTGCGATTTTTCTCTATCTTGATATGAATGTTTATCTTGTTGCACAGCTTTCTGTTGTAAATGTTGTTCTTTTTGTTGTGGCTGTTGTGGCTGTTGTGGCTGCTGTGGTTGATGTGGTGGTTGTTGTTGATCTTGTTTGTATTGTTTCTCCTGAACATCCGTCAAATTTATCCTCTCCAGTTCCTTCCAGTACCGATAATTCTCTTTGATGCATTTGCGCATTTCTGGTAAACTGCAGAAATCTGTATATGCGTGATCGTTAACTAAATATTTAATAAAATTTATTTTAAATGTTTAAAAATTTGATGTTTATTCAACTGAACGTTTAAATTTTTTTTAATGTTCATAAAACATCAAACACCACAAAAAAGTCATTGAACTAACTGGTCCAGGTTTCATACATATCGTTGATGAAGAGGTCTATGAAGCTTGTCTGGGACTTGGGCACGTTGCACGACTTGCTGTCGAACACAGGCATAACGACAGGCAGACCGCGGTTCTTCTCCTCGTCCGTCTATCAAAACACAATTAATTGGTTTAATTAGCTAATCAAACGAACAAACTTGAGCAGTCAACCAACCGATCGACCAACTAACCAGCCAGACAACCGACTGACCAACCGACTGACCAACCGACTGACAACTAACTAGCCAGACAACCGACTGACCAGCCAGACAACCGACTGACCAACCGACTTACCAACCAACCAGCCAGACAACCGACTGACCAACCGACTGACCAACCGACTGACCAACTAACCAGCCAGACAACCGACTGACCAACCGACTGACCAACCTGTTCGCAATACTCCTTGGCGATCCTGACCGCCCACTCCTTGCAGAGGTTGAGAGGTCGTGCTGGGTTGGATACATCAGCGCATTTGATCAGCATCCTCTTCACAAGCACCCTGTTCTCCACTGTTGATAACTTCATCAGCGCTTCTGATTGGCTCTTCATGTGATGGATGGACAGATGGATGGATGGTTGGATCGATCGATAAAACAATATTTGATTGATTGAATTTTTTGAACGAATGAATGAAAACTGGATGATAAATAAATGAATGAAATACAAATAAAATGTCTGAATGAATAATTGAACGAATAAATGAATGAATGAACGAACGAACGAACGAACGAACGAACGAACGAATGAATGAATGAATGAATAAATGAATGAATGAATGAATGAATGAATAAATGAATGAATGAATAAATGAATGAATGAATGAATGAATGAATGAATAAATGAATGAATGAATGAATGAATGGATGAATGAATGAATGAATAATATCCAACCGCAGCGTCTTTGCAATCGTGAAGTGAAGTTTGATTGATGACGCTAACAAATCTGTTGAAAGGCATTTTAAAAATTTATTTAATTCTTTGACAATCATCGTCAGCATCATCATCAGCACCATCATCACCATCATCGTCAGCATCATCATCAGCACCATCATCACCATCATCTTCAACATCATCATCATCACGACCTGTTGAGGTGTTCGAAGTGTTTGGTCATCTCAGTGGCGAGTACCATGTCAATGACTTGCTGCCTCAACTGCTTGAAATTATCCCTGCGGTAATGATAATGATGATGATGACGATCAATTTATGGCGATGATGATGAT